ATAGCGGCTCCTACCTATAATTCTCCTCCCACGAACCCCACAAGTAATCAATTTCTGTACTCCGTACGGAGTACCAGGAAGTCCTCTCAGGCCTCGGGATACGATATTTCCAGGTGCTAAGCAAAACTACGAGTACTGTTCAACCATCGAATAACCTTGGAAGTTATCGAATCTCCGCGTGTATATGTATGCAATTTCTTTCAGACCTCATGTACGGAGTACGTACGTACATACGTCAGAACGAGGGAAATAATTATCAATTTTTAACCAAAAAGGGACAAACTCTCCCCCTGGTTCAACTATTTACCCTTTTTACCAAGGGGCAGTCAAGATCATCTAGAAACGACACGATGAGATGCCAGGGCCCTGGGGAACCTTGCATGCAACCTAAATTGTATGGCGGCGCCGTGATTAGAGTGAAACCGTGATCGACTCGGATGAGCCACCCTTACAGGCTTGATGGCGTTGATAGATTTTACCCGAAGCAGCACCGTGACAATCACGTCGGTGGTTGTCCTGCATTGATGCCGTGCTATTGTGGGCATCATCTTGCTGCATGCCATCGATTGGGCTTCTGCCAGTGTGCTCCATATCCCGTCCATGTCCCGGTTTGCGTGGGACCCGGTGTTGATTTCCAAGTGCCTCCCTCTCTGCTCAGCCACAACGTAGTCTTGCTGAGCCATTGTTCCCTTAGATCATTATCTCTGATTCATCTACAGTAAAGTAATGCGCAATGTTTGGTTCACAAATCACGCGAGGCCGTTTAAAGAACTTATGGAGAGGACACTGTACCTTTCCCAGAATTGGTCTATGTACGTGAAGATCTCGTCTGGCTTTCGACGTAATATTTACACAATAGCCGGGTACACCGCAACCCCGGGGCCAAAGACCACCCATTCAGCACTCGCAATCCTCCCAATCCCCGCCTGAACATGCAGCCTAGAATTCATTCCGAGCCTTAATCTGCGGTCACGCCCGCCTGTCACCGATGGCACCTTTTGATGAACATAGCTCCTTCCTTTCAGTGTTTAGCGTTCCAAGTACGCCACGGCTTTGCCCAAGAAAGCCCGAGAGAGTCCAAGAAAAGGAGGTCAGCATCTCCCAGGTTTCCGGGTAGTAGCCCCATCTGCCGGCCTGCCTCCGTGTCCTTCGGGCGTTGCTCGGTCTCCATGCGCCACTTCTGTTTGGTCTTGGTGGACATAAGGTATTAAGCTTGACTTGTGGGAAGGCTCAGCTGACCCATTGACGTTTAATTAGACACCTTATTGTTATTTAGGCTGTCTAATATATTTTAGCGTGTCAATGGTTCTATAGCGGAGAACCTGGGCCACTCTACGTCCCTTGGTGACCTTTCAATTACCAAATACTCCGTAGATGCAGATAGATTGATCCCGATACACGGGCGTGGACCTGGGCCATTCATTGCACTGGTAGCATGAATTAGGGTCCCTAGGACACGGCACAGGATTCTCGTAGGTTTAGGTTCGCTCTCATGGCCATCTGCCCCTTCCCGCTACTAACCCCCGTGGGCGCAGTTGTTTCACCGACGAGAAGATTATAGGAAGGGTTTCACCACATTCTCCCAATCCTTCGGCGATTCTTCAGCTCATGGAGAAAGAAGAGGGGTGCCACTATATTTTCTTTTTGTTGAAGATCTTATCCATAGTGGGAAAGGTCTACGGCCTACCGTGCAAATCATGCCCACTGCTTTTCTCTGTGTTTGAGTGGTGCCAAAGATGCATCATCCACTCTTGCCAAGTATACCATGGAGCTTTTTTGTAGATCCTAGCTCCAGTTGTGCATGCTAAGACTTAGCCCAACACCCGAATGCGATCTTTATGGGCGACTACCGAGAAGCTCAGCAGCCTGTAAGTAGACATAATGACCTTCCTTCTAGGGAGAGCTGTTATAGAGACGCGTCTCCATACGGGGCTCAGGGGCTGTGAGACAGATCTTCGCTCTGCTTGAGCTACGTATGTACATACAATGTTGTGATTTTGTCGATCGATTCGGAAACCGGGCCGGTGAATCGGATGTTCGATACGGAATTTCAAATCATGTACTCGGAACTTACTGAATATTCCAAGGTTCAAATCATTACTTCATGTCTTTCAAGTTTTGATCGGAAGCCCTGTTGAACTTGAAGAAGACCAGTACCAGTGTGGTGGGATATATATATCCAGGAATGCTACCTACCTAGGTAGTAGTTGCGAAAGAGAAAAACGGGACGATACTTTAAGGAACTGATAAGGTAGCATCAGCACGAGGTCAGCAGCCTTGGTAGAGTGTAGATCGTTGACACTCGCCGATATATACTAGTGGTACTACTAGTAGTACATGCCACTGCGGAGAGGTTCCCCCCTCACAAACTGACCCAACCACTACATTTGGGCAAACTCTATACTTACTCTTGAGAAACCCATTGGCTCAACCGAACAACCTCTTGCACAGACTAGTGGAAGAAATTATCCGAACAAATTTTACCGATTTCTAGAAGAAACTCTTTTCTGCTTTCGATTGATAACCTTCCACTCCCGAACGAGGTCGCAGTGATCGGCTCTGATCGCCCATTCTTGAAACCTCCGCCAGTATACGGCCGTTTCAAATTGATTCCATGGGAGGGTCTTTCCCTCAAACCATCCCGCGATTTTCATAGCCTGATGCCTAATCCTTCCCGTTGAAACGAACCTGAAGCGAACCACTGTTTGAAAGAGCCGGCATTGGTGATATCACACTCATCTTCAACAAAATTTTCACACACTGCTTTCTCCAAAGTCTCCAACACCCAGCAATCAAACTACAATCCGTACTTTAGTAGCTAATTGGCCCTCGTCTCCGGATCTCGGATCGGTAAAAGGGGGCCAGCAGAGCAGAAAACCGGGCAACGCGGATGGCGGTGCATGCCACGAGGTGGAGTAGGCTGGCACGCGCTAAGCGATCCTCCGCCGAACCTAGTGGAGTGCCCAGGACAACAAATGGGGGCATAGACATTGGAGCTACACCACTGTAGTCGGGACCTCGGAGACCCAGTCTATTCCGACACAAAGTCCTGTTCTCTACAATTTCTTGATCTATACCACATCGAGTATCGCCGAAAAAGGGGGGCCGTGATGCGCTATTCCTGGTGATCCAATGATACTTGCTATCCTCCCCTTAGCCCTTCTCCACTCTCTGTCGGACCCGAATAGGGTGGTCCACTTTTTTGTTTTCCTTTTTTTTTCCCTTGGCCCTCTTTTTTCTCTCTCTTCCCTTCTCTTCTCCTCTACTGTATCTACATGCGTATCTGTGTATCTTCGAATCTACGGAACCGACGCCTCCCATCCCCTCAATATGGTGGATCGGCCATCATTGACCCTCTTTTACCTTGCACCGTGCGCCAAGGACCAAATTATATGATCGTTGATGAACTATCCTGCCATCGCAGGCAGCAGTTCTTGTGGCTTGGACCTCGGCTTTGACAGCACGTAAAATTCCACTCTTTAATAAACTAAACCTGCAAGCTTGAGTTGGATTGGTCCGACCGTTCAACCGGGAAAGAATCTTATAGGTTCTCGTTACTCACGAAAAAGCCAAGACAAGAGAGAGAAAAAAACATAAAAACATAAAAGAGAACCCCATATGGAACCAGCAGCCAAAATAAACGAGAACGGTACATTTTAAAACCTAAAAGCCTCACCAAAAAAATAGTAAACGCCAATATAAGCGATCGGATCATTTGTGGCGTTTTGTCTGCCGGATCTGAAATTCATTACAGAATAGTAGTACTCCGTACTAGTTCGGTTTCTTGAATTCATCGTTCTAGTAATGACCAACATCCACCAATACAGCAGTATAACTACTCCATAGTACATAGAGATGCAGCATATGTACATCCACGACATCATACCGACAATGAGGCTTCGGAACCTAACCGAGCCCGGACGAATCGGACGCCGAATAGCTGGGATCCACGATATGAGGGCATATTATTGGACGAGGACGGGGCACCGCTGTGTTGACTGCCATTGGAGGTCCGTTACGCCCAATTCACCAGTCGTTGCTGGGCTGTGCTGGGCCTTTCAGACCTGTCTCACTTCGCCCTAAGTATAGCTTGTGTGTGATTAAGTGTGAGCTCTCGCGTACTCCATATAGCAAATCCTATTCTTAGCCGCGTGGACGACAAACTCAAATCCTATTCATATTTTTGGTTTGGAACTATGGATATGGATGATGGCATGTTTTAGATGATCTTTTGCAACGGTAGCAGTCGTTATCCAGGCTAGTGAGGTGTATACAGCATCTGGTAGGGCAGTTCAGCTTGTGCTCCGTACTTTGCCAAAAAACGGTCTCTCCCAAATGGTCTTTTTTCAGCTAAGCCATGCGGAAACTAGCTGGCTTAGGAGGCCTGATCTACGTAGCCTTATTCGAATTAGAATAAACTCCACAATGTTAACGGTAGATGTAGCTCCTATACGTCCTATACGTCCTATGCGTGACGAAGGTTGTGTTCGGGTGCCTGATCATGGCAGAGACATGTCGATCTTAGCGGTCCAAAAAGTGTCTTGTCTTCTTAAGGCTGATGCTACAGTTACGGTAGATGTTAGCCATTCAGATACCGAAAAGGATTAATTGCTAAGCTGCAGAATGGTATGCCAGTTGCCGAACAGGGCTGTCTGCATCAGTGTGATAGTGACACATTGGTGCTGGTGGCTGATTCTGATGCTGATGCCAGACTAACGCGGTCTTATGCCTTATGAAGACCCAGGTGGGCAGCCGTGCAGCGTGGCCTTGCAGCCAGAAAGAAATTTCCCAGCTCATGCACAATTGCAATGAAATGAAAGACCGCTGACCGATTCTTGAAGCAGGTACACGATTGACAGAATCTCACGAGAACGCCTCAATCCCCTAACCTGACCCTTTGTCCCCGAAACGCCGTTGCCGTTGCCGTTGCCGTTGCCCTTCCCTACCTCCTCATACACCAGTGCACGAAAAAAAAAATAAGAGCGGAGTTAGGTGATCTTTCAGGCGATGACTAGGCTTTCGTAAACGGCACGGCCATAGCAGATTGGGTAGAGCCTTGCCCAGAACGCAAACAAGTCCGGTTTTGCCTGACTCTGCTGGACCAGCCATTCGGCGAAAGGAATCTCTGTATCAAAGGGATTCGGGCTTCGATAAACAGCGATCTATACACTTGAGTATCAGGAAGGGGTGGGCTTTGATGACAACCATGACCAGAAGGGCAGAGGGTGCTTCCAACTCACATCAGAGTAATGCTGCAACGCATCATGGTGTCCTATGTCAAGACCGAGACTGTCTAGCGTACCCCATTTCACTCGGCGAGCCGCATTGCTATAAGCTCTAGAGAGAATCTCTCTGTCTGCAGTGTTCGTCTCGCCGATTGAAACCCCATCGGGCAGCTTGTTCTTCTGGCGGACATAGGCGACCTCGATGAGGCGAGTGAGAAGGTCGGCCTGCCAGGTCTGCAGGAATGGATGATGGTTGAACTGCTTGACGTGGCGTGAAAGGACAGAAATTTCTCGGTCGAGCTGATTGACCTTTCCACGAAGGTGTGTGATACGCGCTTCAAGATCGTTGTTTGAGGCTTGCAGCGCGAGACATGCAATTTTGTGTTTCTGCGTCCGCCAATCAGCCTTCACTTGCCTCTCGTGTTTTCGGTGAACTTTTCTGTCCTTGGAATAGTCGGTGACCGGGGCTTACTCCGGAACAAGATAGCCTGCCTTCCACCGTGGCGAAGTTGGTAGGTCCACGGGAACTGGAGCGAGGGCGCGTGTGACGGCCACGTTTTTCGGGGGAGAGAGACATGTTTGCCTCAATGCTGCTGGGTCAAGTGAAAAAGCAAGGTACTTTTCTCAAGAAAGAGGCATGGTTGGAAGAAGTGATTTGCATACTGTGAGGTCGACAAGGGTCAAGGGCAGGGAGCCTTGGGAAGGTGAGGTTGAGATAATAAGGAAACGGGATCGTGCCTGCCTAATTCAGAAACTGTGTTTATTCGCGTAGACCGCGGTTGCCAATGCCATTACCGTTGCTATAGACATTGCCATGGACATTATCATCAAAAGATCGTAACTATAGCTGTCGATTATGTTACAGCTTGCTGCCTGTGGAGGCCTTGCCAAAATCAATAACCAGCTTTCCAAACTGCGTTCCTTGCTTCATGTCTTCAAACAATCCGTCGATGGCAGGAAGGTCATCAATCTCAGCCTGGAGTACTCGCGAAACAACCGGGTGAATCTTCTTGGCTTTGACAAATTCAATCATGTCCTTGAATTCCTTGCGAGAACCCATCGTGGAGCCACGAACATCAATGTTCTTAAGGACAGCTGGCATAGTGAAAGGCATCTTAGGAGACACCGTCATACCATAGATGGAGAGAACACCACCGGCCTGGATTATTGATTTTAGTAGGAACCCTTGAAAAAATAAAAGGATATCATGGGACATCTGTTGCTGAAGAGCATGCACTTACCTTGAGCAGTTTGACAGCTTTCTCAATGGAATCGCCACCAGCACCGTCAATGATAGCATCAAAGTTCTTTTTCCCATCAGGAAGCAATCCAAGAAGCTTCTTCTCCCATCCATCTTCTTTATAGCTGACACCACCAGTTGCGCCAAGATCAATTGCCTTCTGAATCTTCTCCTGGCTAGAGCTTGTCACAAAGACATGAGCGCCACGGGCGACCGCAAACCGCAGAGCAATCAAGGCAACACCGCCACCAATTCCAGTGATCAGCACAGCAGCTCCATTGCTAGAGTTTCTCTCGCCAGCCTTCGATACCAGGGCTCGCCATCCAGTCAGACCGGTCAGTGGGAGAGCCGCGGCCTCTGCATCGGAGAGATGGGCGGGTGCCTCCTCAACTTCGGACTCATCAATGGCGATATATTCCTGGAGTGTACCTTTGTTGTAGACTTTGGTACCTCCCATGATGCGGTATCCAGTAGCCTCCTCCGGGCCATCGGGGGGAATCTTTCCAGCCCACGCCGGGATTCAGGATGACGCGCTTTCCCTGCCACTTCTCTGCGCTGGACACGTCAGGGCCAGCGCCGACAACGGTGCCCACGCCATCTGCCAGTAAAGGAACATCGAAAGTTACGCCGGGGTATAGGTGTTGGCGGAGGAAGAGGTCGCGGTGGTTGAGCGAGGCGGCTGATAGCTTCACCAGCAGCTCGCGCCCTTGCGGGGAAGGTTGGGGCAGAGTGCGCACGGTGAGCGGGTAGTACACCTGGCCCGGCTTGCCAGGCTTGCCATCAATGGGCGAAATATAGACGGCCTTCGACATTGTGATGCAAGGCAAACAGTTGAGTTGACAAGATAAGCTTGCTGTTGCTATGAACTTGGAATTGGTGAATGCGGGGACAGCTAGCTTAATCGATAGCCGAGGACCAGTTTCACCGTGGCAACCTGAGAGTTGGGAGAGTCAATACCGGTTGAATGGATTACCGGTTGAATGGATTACCGGCTGAGTCGAATACGAAAATTCGCAGTGGGAAATAAGCAGCTATTATTTAAGACTTATGATGGTATGAATTTCAAGTTCGAAAAGATATTCTAATCTCGACTTTATGTATCGAGTGCACACTATGGGGGGACCTCGGCCCACGGACCGGCGGCTACTTACTAATTCACCAAGGATCGCCATCAATCTCCCTGTCTCCAATTTGGAGAACCAGGACGATACCTTTCCTGTTCTGGTTCTCTTTTCCAGAAATCCCATTGTGCACAAATGATGATATACTAGTATCATTCAAGAAATAGGATGCTCGTCATGAGACCCGTTTCAGTCAATGCATTCCATCGCCCCGCATCAACCAAGAAACTCTGCGGCCGTGTTGATCTCTCAGCTTAGGTACTATAACAAGAGTTGTTATATACCTAGGTATCTTTATTCAATTTTGTAGATTTAATCGGATTGGAAGTAATTACATACATAAACTATTCTTGATTTTTGAACGTAAGATTCAACGCGTCATCCATGGATGGTGTGGGGGTTGGATAGATATATATATGGTGGACAGTACTAGTAGTACTACCTAGGTACTAACCACCTGGGCAGCACTTGATCCGAGTCGCAATCACTGACCTGCCACTGGGCACCTGGGCAGTGGGCAACTTGATGTTGAGACTTGAACTTGAAGCCCCAGTGACTAGTACGAGTAACTACTAGTAGGTATTACTTGAAAAAGAGCCCGAAAAACTCGAAACGTGAAAAATATTCCCATTTGTTTACAAAACATCTTGATACCTATATTAACCTAGCTAGAAAACAAAGAAATCTAAATCTCCCCCCGACCACGTATCTTTCGTAGAACCCTGCCAGCAACCCTGAACTGGGCAGGTAATGACTTGCGATTTATGCATCATCGCGTCCCATAGAGAACGCCGTGTCGACAGCAGCACACAAGCTGATAGTGATGGCATGAATTGCATCCAGATTCCGCGGTCTCGGCTGTATCCTCAATCACAGCACCCACCGAAGAATCAGACGCCGAATCATCAGACAGTGTATACTCAAAAGAGCTTTCGGATTTGGCATCGTCTGAACAACAACAGCCATTTGGCCTGGCCTCAGTCCGAGGAGGCGGAGCAGGTCGTTTGCAAGTACACTTCATATGGGGACTGGCTGCTCTGGGTATCTCCATTGGGTGATGCGAGCAGCCCATTGCTGGAGTTGGAGCCGGAGCCGGAGAGTGACACGAGCGATGGTAATGTTCCTGGTGATGCGTCATTCCGTGGACATTCGGAGTCGAAGGATAATATTGGCAATGAGTCAGCGATGCTGCTGCCGTTCCTGCAGATTGTGAAGCACAATGACATGGGGATGCTGGAGTAGTTGCACCGGGTTGTTTTTGATTGTCCTTGTGATTCAAGCCTCTGGTCTTCCTGGGTCGCTGAGGGTGCTCGGATTCCGGCTCTTTACGGAGACATAAACCACAGGTGTGCCTCGGGGGCGGAGGTCTATCAAAATGGTCGTTGCTACCGCTTGTCACTGGTGTTACCAGAGGTAAGTGATCGCTGTGGATTTCGCAATGACCACGAGCAGGTTTCTCGGTTGGAGTAGCTCGGGCAGGATGGCGGACGAAGGCACAGGCGTCACCGTCCCGAACAAAGAAAAGGTTGGGCTTGATTTGTTCACCCCGAGAGACAACTTTGTGGTATGGCTTGCCTAAGAAATAATCGGGAATATTCATACACCGACGACTGTTCCTCTTCATGGCGCTGGAATATAGAAAAGAATCGGATTGACGGACACGAAAAGGTAGCGAGGTCAATTAGGCCGATGAATACTTATTTGACCGAGAAATTATGATGTTAGACAGTGACCCTGAGTGAAATCATGTCACAGAAGTGGTCATCGGCAAAAACGAGAAGGATGGAGATTGTCATGATATATGAAGGCCGATTGGATTAGAGCAATCATGAGAAGATTTGAAAGGATTCATTCTAAGTCTAGGTTAGATCTACGAGTATCGGGTTCGGGCTTTGAGATGAGACAGCAAACTATGTGTGCTTTGAATGGACGATGCATATGAACTATGGCCAACAAACCACGCAACCAAGCAAACGTCCCAAATGGTCGGGCCGGTGACGATCCTTCCTATGCAGGAAGACGGCTAGAAGAATAGAATTTCGAACCTAACCGGACTCTGGCCCGAACTCAGAGGGGGCTCTGCAGGTTCGTGTTTGAAGAAAAAGTTATTGGGACGATTCTTTCCAACCTGGCATTTAGTATGGGATAGTGGGATGGCTGGGAAAGGGAGGGATGATATGCAAGTGTCCCTCCTTTATCCCGTCCTTCTTTTGAGGTAGCGATCTTGTTGATGGGCATATGCCTACATGTATGTATGTATGTATGTATGTATGTATGAGTATGCCAATGCCAATGCCAATGGTAAGGCTAAGAACCCCAGCAAGGGCGACCAGCAGCACGATACATCCAAAAGCCAACGGGGAAGACCAACACCAATCCAACTTTAACTGTTTGAAAGCAGCTGATCGTCCAATGGTGAGGCGGGAGTGGCAGGAGGTGTACCTTACACGTCGACTGGTTTATTGCCACAGCCGCAACCCACTGCATGCATACTAAATGCCAGCTGCACCTCTTCTGTTTTGGGAGCTTCCTTTATAGCAGCCAGCTCCACAACCTGGGGAGAAAAAAGAAAAAAAAGATGAGTGATAAAGTAGCTAGAGTTTAGTCTGGAACTAGTGATCTTTGTCCTAAAACAATTTTATTTTAGAAAGATAAAAAGCTGCCTATAGTCAGGCTTAGAGCCACAGTGTGTGTTTGTGTGTTGTGTGGGTGTCCTTCGTACTTTCTTTCTGGAGGCTGGTGGCAGGAGGCAGACCTGTGTGTATTTTTCAATACATCCCAATACGGCGTATTGTCCTCTCTTGTGGTGACCTCTCACGCGACAGCTCATCATCAATACACTGTATTTTCGCCACTGCGCGCCTACTGCCACGCTCCCCGCTAAATCCATTTTTGCTCCAGGAAACCCAAGCGAAATCGAATCTCGATCTCTCTTTCTTGACCTCGTTCCTCTGGCGCTCAAGCATACTTGCATTTCCTCCAACCACACCGATCTCGTTCGTCGACTGACACGCATCTCGCTGTCATTTCATTCATCCCGCCTGTTCGACTATTTTCTCGTGTTTCGCGTTCCCTCCAACCCGTTCGCATCACGCACTTTCGCACCATCCGCCACCTCAAAAGTCTCGCGACGAACTCTTTTCAAATCGGCTGTTTTGTGGGGGAATATCACCTGTACTAAAACTTCTATCATCCATAATGCCTACACCACTCCCATCGAGTTTTGCCTCCGCCGCTGCCGGTAACACGCAGGACCCCAGTCGGAGAGGGGATGGAGGAGCTGCTGGTGAATGGTATGCAATATTGCCCTCCCTTCTCGATCTCAAGCTTTTAGCTTTTCGTGTGCCAGATATCATTTCCCATTCACTGCATCGCCCTATTCAACCTTCAATTCCGCGAGACCGAAATATTCGTTGCTAACCTTGAATGTCCACACCAGGTCTCGATCTCGTATGAACGGAGCCACTCAGACCTTTCGCCGCCCTTCTGTCGCTACGAACCCTTCTCACATCCGGGAGAGTGGTCACCCTGCTTCAGCTTCGACACCGACGGCCCCCGGGGCATACATCCCACCCCACATGAGCTCAAATCCCATCCCCAGCACCCTACGCAACGGAGAAGCCCGATACTCCAAGGAACAGCTCCTAGAGATGTATAAGGCGCAGCGGGAGAACGGAGCTTTGGGCAAAAATGTGGAGGAATACTTTGTCGCCGACTGGGATCCTCACATGGTGTCAGCCCCCGCGAATGGAGCGTGGGGGAAGCGGGACGACCACAAGTCCTCCGCGGGACCTGAAGTGTGTTGGGACCATGGAGGACAGGCTGAACCCTTGGGTTTGTCTGATATGTCGGATGGAGAGAAAGAGGTAGGTCAAGATCTCATCCGGTGCGGGGTGGAAATTGCGTGTTTATATGCTAAAACTCTGCAGATTTTCTCTGCTTCGGTCAATTCTCCCCTCAAGCCGCCCCCCCACGAACGCGCAGAAAGAAAATACTGCACCAGGTACTGGAGGCCGTAAACAGTCCATCTCTTACACCCAGGGCCATATCAATAACTACAATACCTCCTCTCCGACGGCCAACCGTCCGGGCGTGAGACGTCGTGAGACCGGTGACTCGATCGGCAACCCTATGTCCCCCACCGGCTCCAACTCGCGCTTTTTCCGCGACGAGGCGACTACCTCCACCCCTCCCCCCGCCCTCTTGCGTCGTAAAACCGATTTCCGGGATCAAAAGCCTGACGACAAAGCTAAAGAAGGACAAGAAACCGCGTCTCCCTTCGGCTCTTTGAAACGAAGCTCGACCAACCCTCTGAATACCGCTGTGGGAGGACCAGGCTCGCCTTGGGGCTCGGCTTCGCACAATGCCAACTTCTCTCCCATGGGCGCATTCGGAGCATTTTCTTTGGGTTCCAACACGGCCCAAACGCCAACGGAGAAAAAACCTGGATATGGCAGCCTTCGTGGAGAAAGCCGGTTCAAGGACTTGCTTTCTAAGGATAGCTCTGAGGATATTGCCGGGTCTGCCAAGGAGAAGAACCTGTCCAGCTTGGAGCGCCTGACCGAAGATGATGGTGGCCAACGTTCGCAGTCTCCGTGGGGAGAAGGGCTCAAGACGCGTGCGAACCGTAGTGAAACCAATCCTTTCGATGAGCCTCGCAGTGGTAGCGCCGCGCTCGGCGGATTTCAAGATCTCGAAGCCCCGTCCCAAGATGACCTCGGGTTCGGCGCATTCGGAATGACCTCAAGCATCCCAGGCTTTCGCGAGTTAATGCAAAGCCAGGAGAATTCTCGCAACCCTACCCCGAGCTTGCTCCAAGGTCATGAACCAACAAGCCCCACAAACACCAACCCCTATCAAAGCCCTCAAAATGATCGGACTGCTGCCGACCCAGAGGATCTGGATACGGATGGGTCAGACATTCAGGCTTCCCAGCATCCCGCACTCAGTGGCTTGCGGGATCCTTCAAACCCCTTTGGATCGATGAGACGGGTTGGCTCGGGCATGGACTTGCCTACTGTCGATCGCAGCCAAAACTCCAGCGCCAACGCCAACCGTAACTTCTCGGGTCTTGGTGGCCTCGGTGGCCTCTCCTCTCTCGGCGGGGGTGCCGCTTGGCCTTCTGGAGGTGCCATCGGCACTCCAACCCGCGAACGCTCTGCTTTCGCTGGTGGTTTCGGTGATCCAATCTTCGGTTCTATGGGTGATCTTCAGTCTCCAAGCCTGTCTACACTTGGAGGCGGAGGTCTCTTTAGCCCTCATGCTGGTATTTCCGGAACCGCCAGCATAGGCCGATCAAGCAAACTCGGTGCCCTTTTCTCATCGGTGCAGGACGAACAAGGTCGCTCAGACTCGGTCGGCCTGGAAGATGGACTCCGACAAACGGATCTCCAGCAGACGGAAAAGCCCGGTCAGGCAAACAAGCCCGGGTCAAACCCATCTCAAACACCCGTTTCGGCTGTTGGTTCTCTTCCGCCCGGAATCGGTCACGATGGAGCAGGTGCAATTCAGACTCCTGGGGGCACTGTGCCTTCTGCCCAGCAACGTTGCATGGTAATGCCTGATCGCATGCGCTGGATCTATCGCGACCCGCAGGGCAATGTCCAGGGACCATGGACCGGACTTGAGATGCATGACTGGTTCAAGGCTGGATTTTTCAGCCCCGACCTGCAAATAAAGAAGCTCGAGGATATTGAATTTGAGCCACTGGCTCAGCTGGTCCGACGTATTGGCAACTCGCGCGAGCCCTTCCTTGTTCCCCAAATTGGCATCCCCCATGGTCCCGAACCTACTGGAGCTCAGTGGACTGGTCCTCCTGGGCAAAACACTACTTCTGCTCAGCCTCCATTCCCTGGAAGCTTCCCGAGTTTCGGCACTACATTGACCGCAGAGCAGCAAAACGCACTCGAGCGACGCAAACAGGAGGAACAGTATTTGATGGCTCGTCAAAAAGAACATCTCGCCCAGCAGCAAGCTATTATGAAGCAGATTGGCCCGTCTACTATGCAGCCCCAGTTGCAGCACCAGACTAGCGCCCACAGTCTTCAGAGCCAGCCCAGCTTCGGTAGCATTGCTTCGCCGTCTGGTTACCAGCCATCTCCAATCCAGGCGCCTGGCCATGGCCAGCAGCAGCAATCACAGCAGCAATCGCAAGCTGGGGTTGCCGGTTTCTTCGATGCTGCAGCACCTACTCGACAGGGCGGTCTCCCAAATGTCGGACCTGGCATGCTAGGAACTGAGCTCGGTAGCCCAGACCAACTTCCGGGTCTACTGGATCACCTGAACGTCGGCCGCCAGGATCCTTTTGCCTTTGGTGCATCCAATTCATTCGCTGCTCGCCAACCTGACAGCTTCCTGCATTCCCAGCAGGTCTCTTCAATGCTCCAAGATCGTGAGGCGCTTCAGCAAGAACAAGAACAGTTTGACCAGCTCAACTCCAATGATCTCTTTGATCAGCAGGCGCGTGAAGAGCGATTGCGTCAGTTCCATGCTCTGAGAGCCCAAGAAGGCGACTTTGGCATGCGGACTGTTGATGGCTTGCCAACTCACCCAGCTGCTGCTTCCGCCCAGGACGCTGAGGCTGCTGCTACCAGCGAAGAGTTAGCCATGGAAGCCCTCTCAGCTGATGAACCTACCGATGAGCCTACCCTCACTCTGTCTCAACAGGTCCACAAGGCCGCTTCTGCCCAGCGTCAACAGCAGGAGCAAGACCAGCATGCTCAGGCTGTCCCTGAAAATGTCTGGGGAGTCAAGGTCGATAGCGCCATGCCTCACCCTTTCCCCCCGCCTCCCTCTGCGTCGCCTCTGCCCGCCCCCGCTGCTCAGCGCAACCGCCAAAACATGGCTGAATCTCTCGTCGCCGACTCTCAGTCCCGGACCCAAACCCCAATTGATGCGGCACCCACCTCCGTCGCCCCTTGGGCAAAGGATACCGTCGAAGTTCCGAAGGGTCCCTCGCTGAAGGAGATCCAGGAGGCTGAAGCTCGCACTGCTGCTCAGCGCGAGGAACACGCTGCCGCCGCTCGTCGCGCTCAGTTCCTTGCTGAGCAAGAGCGTCTCAGCCATGCCCAAGCTCAGGCTGTTCCTGGTCTTCCCTCCTCCGCAAACTGGGCCAGCTCAGGATCCCCGGCTACTCCTACCGCTGCTAGCCCTGCCTGGAACACTAAGAGCCAGCCCGCACCTACCACCAGCACCGCAAAGAAGACTCTGGCTCAGATCCAGAAGGAAGAGGAGGCTCGCAAGCAGCGCCAAGCTGCTATCAACGCCGCTGCCGCCCAAGTCGCGACACCTAGCCCCCCAGCTTCCGCTACCAAGCGCTATGCTGAGCTTGCCAGCAAGGCCCCTACTGCTACCGCCGCCGCCGCCGCCGCCGTCGCCAGTGCTGCTCCTGTTGCTTCTGGTGCCTGGACAACTGTCGGTGCTAGTGGCAAGGCGAAGACTCCTCTTGCCGCGCCCCTTGGACCTCGCTCTGCCAGTGGAGCCATTCCCGTTGCCCCTGCTTCTGTCTCCAAGCCTCGTCCAACTATCGCTACACGTACCGTGACCGGTGGCAGCGTGTCTCAGGGCAGCTCTAACCGCGCCATGGAGGAATTTACTAAGTGGGCGCAGCTGTCTTTGGGCAAGGGTCTGAACAGTAACATTAATGGTAAGCCCCGCAAATGAACCCCAACAGAAATTAAACGTTTGATTCTAACCCTTTCTAGTGGATGACTTTGTTCAGCAACTTCTTTTCCTGCCTGCCGAGGCCGAGATCATCTCTGACTCTGTCTACGCAAACTCCCAGACCTTGGATGGCCGCCGATTTGCCGACGAATTTATCCGCCGCCGCAAGCTGGCTGACAAGGGTGTCGTTGACCCCGTCTCGCCCAGTGCTTTTGCCGAGCAGAAGAACGGCGGTGGCTGGAACGAGGTTGCTAAGAAGGGATCCGCTTCAAGCGCTACCCCTTCTGCCCGTGAAGAGGAGAGCAACGCCGCATTCAAGGTCGTTGCTCCCCGCAAAAAGGGCAAGCGCTAGTGGCGTGCATAGCTATCTGTATCTGAGTTAGTCGGGGAATATTTTGCATTTGTTTGATTATTCGCGACTGTTTTCTTTTTGCGTGTGCATCCGGCGGTCAGGTGGACTTTAGTCTTTCGATCTCATCTTATGTACTACCATGCTTTTTAAGCAGCATCAGTGTATTTGTGCATTATTGCATTCCAAGGTTTCCTTTTCCCTATATGGCAGGTTTTTACAAAATGTGATAGAGGATAGTGAACGACCCGTGGGATCAAAGATCAGCTCGAACCGAGCAATTGTAGTGGTAGCAACCTATAGATCTAAAGCCGACCCAGGATTCGCATGTACCCCATTGCATTAGGTAGTGATGGCATCGGCCTCCGAATAAAGACTTTCAATCTCTTTCTCATATGCCTGCAATGTTCCAGCTCGTTGTATAGTTCCTTTGCCAGCGCGAGGCATTGGTTTATTGGGACTCGTGAGTAAGATATGAGACTTGACAATGCGAGCCTGCACCGGGCACTCCCTATTAGCCTCTTCAACAGAGGGCCAGATTTTCTCAACAAGTGCACTTTGTTCAGCAGGCGAAAATTCAATTCCATCGCTCTTCACTTCAACAAGCAGAGCCGCCTTCGATCGTTGCGCACCCACGACAAGAACGCCTGTGATTTGAGGATTTTGTGACTGAATATACTGCTCCATAGCGATAGGATTGGTCTTCTCGCCCGTTGAAAAGGCAATTATATCATCTTTGCGCGCCTGCCATTTCCACATGTGCTTCTTGTTGGGATCTGGGTGCTGCACGAACAAATCTTGGCTGCCATACTCCTGCAACTCGGGGAAGAAGGCAAATGTTGGTTGGTGCTTTTCGCGATCTGGATGACGCACAACAACAAGTTCATGCTGATTCCCTTCTATGTGGCGGAATTCAATTCCCATCTCAGGGTGGATTTCCATGTATTTCCAATCTTCAAGATTGCGACCAGCTTTGGAAAAGAGCACAGGGAGTAGACCCATCTCTGTTGCGCCGAATTGATCGACCAATTTCACCCTTGCGGCTACTTTATCTCCAATATCTTGAGGGGGATCTCCACCTCCAAAAAAGATGAATTCTAGGTTCTTTTCGCAGAATTCTAATAGCTCTGAGTTTGAGGCTAGTTCTTCAATCACTGAGGGTGTTGTGAAGACCCCATCGACTTGAGTTTGTTTCATGCCATCCACCATCCCTTTAGCCGAAGCGATCGAGGATGCAGTGGGGTAAACTAGAACACCGCCGAATGAAATTACATGGAATATAACATGGAAGAGATAGGCTGCCTAGATGTAGCTATTAGTATCTTCTATGGTAGTATTTTGGGTTTGCCTTACGTGAAAAGGGGGAACAGTCACGAAGATACGCTTTTCTTGTATCATCCGGTATAAACTGTCGAATCCATCTGGCGTATGCAGTCGAGTCATCTCCATGAAAGCTGCCCCAGCAGCAAAGGTAAACTCAATTGGCTTGGGGATCCCCGTCGAGCCGGAAGTGTGCACAACAGCAAAAGTCTCGGAGCCGTTTTTCGCGAGAGTTTTTGAGAAAGGAACGTGCTTATACTGGGTTCGCAGAAGCTCAGCAACATCAGGAACTTCAAAAACAGGCAATGAAGTAGCCTGCGCGATGTCTGAAATAATTTGAGGTCTGGGAATGGGTGCTAGTAGAACCTTGCATCGCATTGTCTCTAAGAGGCTGGTGTGCGCAGCGACACTATTGCGCGCCGATGCGAAAAACATCTAGCGATAATTAAAAAGCTGGTGAGTAAATAGGGGTTTGGTCTTCACTTACACAATAACCGGCCTTCAAAGCGCCGATGGCGAGTATCGTGTACCGAATATCGTTCGGACCTATGTATGGCAGCTTCTCTGTACCGTCCCCTTGACCGAGTGAATCGATCAAGAATAGGGCAGCTCCATTTACAGCATGGGCTAACTCGCTGTATGAGACATCTTTATAGCCCTCGCTATAATTATCCACAGACTTTGGGAACTTGGCCCATACTCTATCTGGATGGAGGACGGCATGATAATCCACGATGGTCGGCGGAAGTTCTCCACAAGGATCGAAGCCGGCGACAGTCATCTTATTTTGGAGTCGGGAGTCTTATTTTACTTATCTTGTTTTCGTTTTCGTTTTCGTTTGTGTGATTGTATGTATTCAAAAGGTATGCCGCTATTGGAATCAGTCCAGAGAGCTTCTACAGATTAATGCGAAAAGTTGCCAGTGATTTTTCAAGTTCCCTAGGAGAAAGAGATGCATCCTAGGACTTTACGCGAATTTAACCGAAACTTCTCTCAGATGCGTCTCTTCCAAACTTCTAAAATGATTTATGAGTGGGCAAACCGGCAAACGTGAGCTCTGAGTAGCCAATCAGCCCCCACTCGCCAACAGATGAATATGCATAGTATGAATATCACTAAGTTAATAATATGACTTATTTGAAATTTCAAGCGATTGGATATTATCCTTCGCGATCCATGTTTCTTTAGGACCACAACCTGGAACCTGGTGCCTTTAGGTAGGAATATGGCTGCGTACAATCCAAAAGTCCCAAAAGCTTGCCCCGTTCTTTCTTCTCGTGTTTGTTTTGCCTAATTCCCTTTACGGGACTTTTCCATTACTTATCTACCTGGCTCAAAGCTAATTTGACCAGAGCATTTTGTGGATTTATTTTGACAACTGCTACGGAAACCTGCGTCGACTTAGCGGATGCCATTCATCGCGATTCAGAAAACGGCCGGGGAAAAGCCAAAATCTGTAGCTAAGCTCTGGCGCACAGAAATTGATTTCGTGTTTCTCAGTCAAATGACTGTCTGCGTGCTTCTGTCAGCGAATGAAAACAAAGGCAGAAGCGAAGAAGCTGCTTGGGAGCACGTATTCATTTTCTATAAGGATACGACAGTGCGGTTCCAAGATGAATTGAAAGAGCTGAAAAAGAGAAAAAAAGAAGTAGAATGCGGCTCTTTTTGAAATGAATAAATGGTGACTTAGCATACATTTGAGCTATGGTCTTGCCAAACACACAATCATTCTAAGACTATTAACTATTACTCGTAGAAGTATACTAGGAGATAAGATGATTTGTAAGTTCGGGCCACATCGATGACGACATGGCAATTCGGTCCCCGAGGCCCTTATAAACCCCGGTTGCTTCCCTTAAGTTTAAGAGAGTGTCTTATTCCGCAGGACATGATTTGAAATGTTTGATCGAATCTGCGGCACAAGCTTTTGTCAGCATGGTCTTGGGATTTGTTGAGTGGTGCTGGTACTTTCTGGTGGGGAATTCTCTGATTATTCAACATTCCGACGGGATCCGGGGTTGGATGAATAAACCATCCGCCACTCTTACGACTCCAATGATCTCCCCGTTTTCTCTATTACATCACTCCTTGATTGTCAGATAAGAGGAAAATCACCATCAGTTTTCATATTTCGAAAAGTTGAATCAATGGCCGAGGCTAAAGTTGCATCGCCTACTGCTCCTGTGCCGCGCAAACGGGGCCGTCCCCGAACCGTGACCGACGATCAAGAAATCCCAGAGGTAGGTGATAAAAGCAAAAGATAAAGCAAGGCGTGCACCCCCGCTCATTTTATTCCCAGAGACGTCGCAAGCAACTACGTGTCGCACAGCAAGCATATCGCAAGCGGAAAGAGAACACAATTACCAATTTGCAGTCTCGCGTGCAAGAGCTTGAATCTGGGATCGAGGATCTCAGTCAGTCCTTTTTATCATTCAGTAATCTGCTTCTCGAAGCCAAAATACTCCAAACAAACCCAGATATCACTTCTGCCTTGCAGAAAATTACCAGACAATGCGTCGCGCTCGCGAAACAAGGTTGCGATGATGAACCCGAAGAGAAAGCAGCCGTCGATATTGTCGATACGGTCTTGACAGTCAACCGCAGCAAGCACAGTACGCCGGACATAAACCTGGATTTCGACACGGAAATAGTACAGGCGAATAGCATTTCGTTTCCCGAAGATCCATTTCAACCTTCTTTAGCCACATTGGCTCATTGGACACAATTACCACCAACTCCTCCTCACCAAGATCAATCTATTCTCCCTTTCGGAATCGTCTACTCCCCGCCTCCTCTTTCCTTTTCGAATTCAATCCAGTCATTACCGAGTCCTCCGACAACGTTATCTCCAAACAGTATTACACAGCAAGGGCAATGGAATCTCTACCAGCGACTTGTGCGACAATGTTGTCAAAATGGATATTGGTTATTGACCAACGAACCCTATGATGAAACAAAAATCGAAGAAATCTTCAGAGCCCCATTATCAACAAATGAACGCAATCGGATGATCTCGTCATTCTATGATACCATGCACGATGAGGTTGGAGAGCTGATCGAACGCAAGGCGAGGGTACTCAACCCCGTATACAATGTGAGGGAAACCCTTTCGCCAGAGCAGCTCGCACGCACATCACGGGCTTGGAAATTTATCACCGAGTCAGGAGCTGGGGAGTATATGGATGCTAGTGGAGTACAAAGGTATCTGGAGCGGAAAGGGGTTCGGATCTCAGATAGTGATCCTGCCAGTGGATACTCCAGTCCATCCATCGATTATATGACAGAAATCAATGCGACCTTGTTCATACGATGTGAGTCGCTCTATATCTCCTTTTTGATTTAAGTTACTAATTGATCTGCAGATCTTTCACTCCGATGTATTTGTGTTGGTGCTGGACCAGCATTCAAACGGAAGGACATCGAAAAGGCATTGTACGTGTCGAGCCCGCATAATCAGTGGCAAATTTGATGATGCTTGGTAATAATGTTCCCTCGTTGGACGATTAAATTATAGAAATAAAAGAATAATGTTTAACTCACACAACTGAATTCCCTCTGCATTTTCAGAAAATTGTAGAGAATGATAGGTATGCCAGCCTTGTCGGCTATCATCGCCTTGGGCCGGCTGTCAGACCTTGAGGGGCCTTCCAAAGTTGGAACGTCCGCATTGCGATAAGAGATCGTAGCCACCTTAATTTGAAGCTGCCAGGCCATTCCAGCCTTGAAATTTCAGGTGGATGCTCCGAAAAGTCCAATCAGATCTTCTACAAGAGACGAATCACCCTCAATAATCTTCATCAACGGCAGTGGGGTTCTCCCTTAGGTCTAGTCCCCCGCCCTTCGCGTGGCACCAGTGGAGCTTCCAGCAGAAGCTTCAACAACCATTGGCGCGGAGAAGCTCCAAGTGAGTCAATCTCTTATGTGTGCCGTTGCAATTGCACCAGCTCTCAGATCCCGAGACCAACATCTTCTCTGCCTGGTTTATCTGGCCTGAGTCATCGAGGTGTCGAGGCTATTTAACTTTGCGTAACCCAATCGATTCCCTCAGAGGAACTCAACTAAGCTTCTAGAACTTCAGGATCTTGGCTGCCGGAGCTATCTTGCACCCCCAGGCTGACATCATGGCTACTGCTCAACCCACTCCCTTTGGGAAACCAATGTTGAAACATTGGCTCTTCGATCCTTCATACAAGAATCTCAACCACGGTTTGTGAGACAAATTCCTTTTCAAAGCTTCAAAAACTGACTCCTCGACTATCAGGTTCTTTCGGCGCACACCCAGCGCCTATCCGCGATGCACAACGTGCATTCTTAGACATCGCAGACCTGCGACCGGATCCCTATATCCGAAAGCAACACACAAAGCTTCTCGAAAAAGCACGCCAGGGCGTGGCGACGATCATCAATGCGCCCAAAGACGAATGTGTCTTTGTGAAAAATGCCACAACAGGCGTTGCGACCGTCCTATATAATCTAAACTTCCAACCCAACGAAGCGCTCATCTATTTCGAACCCGTCTACGGAGCCGTGGAGAAAGGCATCGTCTCCATGCAAGAGCACAGCCCCTTCAAGGCCCGAAAAGTGAACTTTCACTATCCCATCACTCAGGACGAACTTGAACGCCGCTTTCGTGAAACGGTCACTCGCGCTCGAGCCGAAGGGCTGACCGTCCGCGCTGCGGTCTTCGATGCTATCGTCAGTAATCCGGGTGTCCGCTTCCCCTTTGAAAAGTTCGTCGCCATTTGTCGCGAAGAAGGTATTCTGAGCGTGATTGACGGTGCCCATGGTATTGGACAAATTCCGCTAGACATGAGTGTCCTTCAGCCTGACTTTTTGACCTCGAATTGCCATAAGTATGCATATCCCCATCTGCCCCCCTTCCCTTGCTTATACTGACATTCCTGTCCAGATGGCTCTATACCCCCCGCAGCGCAGCCGTTCTCTACATCCCCAAGCGTAATCAACATTTCATGCGCAGCACCCTCCCAACATCATGGGGATTCATCCCTGCAGCCGGCTCGGCCGAAACAATCGCATCAGTCCTCCAAGATCCAACCGCTGCGAAAACCCAAACTCCCTTCGAAGAGCTCTTCGAGTTCGTCGCTACCAGCGACGACTCCGCCTATATCTGCGTCGAAGCCGCCCTGAAGTTCCGCAAGGAAGTATGCGGTGGCGAAGAGGCCATCATGGCGTACTGTCAAAAGGTTGCCAATGAAGGCGCGGACGCTATCGCTTCGATTCTCGGCACAGAAGTGCTTCAGGAGCCGGGCTTGAAGGCAGGGGAGAAGAGTATGATGCGTGCTTGTGCGTTGACGACAGTTCGTCTGCCTATTGCTGTGGCGGATCAGCCAGCTGATTCCATGGCCTCGGGGGCTCTCGTTACTTTGTCGTCGTCGGAGGCGTCTCGTGCTTTTGCGTTCATTCAGCGCACTTTGATTGAGAAGTATGATACCTTTGTGCCTACTTTTCAACATGGGCCGTGGCTGTGGACGCGATTGAGTGGGCAGATTTATGTGGAAAAGAGCGATTTCGAGTGGCTGGGTGGTATCCTGCGTGAATTGTGTGAACAGATTGCTCGAAACGAGTATTAGTTATTAGTATGAGCAATTAAATACTTGGCGACTGGGCCTTGTCCTAAGTTGTGAGGCTGTTCATTTTTTTGGACGTGACAGGGATCTGCCAAGTAGAATGTACATCTCCGGTTTTCGTTGAACTTTCGTGATCTGTCACCATCCTAAGTAGATAAACACATGGCAAACATCACTGCATGGATGAACACATCCAGTCCCCGAAGACATTCCTCAAGAAAAAGAAAAAAAAAAACTCAAATGGTCGTTGAGGCGCTCTTCATTGGCGCATAGCTGTACAGGTTCCATCACGCCATCACAAGTCGGGGTAACCAAATATCACCTCATATTCTCACGAACCTCTCTGAATGCGGGGGCGTTCGTGTCCCTTTTATATCTTACCTTTGTTCCCAATGTACTTTTCTTTTGTCAAGTCTCGCTGGGAGTCAAACCATTAAGCTACCATTAATTTGAACTTCAATATCCACTATGAGTGTAGCGCAACAATTCGAAGCTGCCAACGCACAATATGCTGCCTCATTTACTAAGGGGAATCTGGCTCTGCCTCCGCAACGGTATTCTATTCTATTCTATTCTTTTTAAAAGAGATATTTGACAAAAGCTCGATATAATGCTGACATTACCTATCTATCAGCAAAGTTGCTATCGTAGCATGTATGGATGCAAGACTTGGTACGCTTGGCACAAGGCTCCTACCCTATTACTACAAGGGATATCCATAACAGCTAACCAACGGTAAATGTACTAACTAGATACCGCCCGCGCCTTGGGCCTCGAAGAAGGCGACGCCCACGTTATTCGAAATGCAGGCGGCCGGGTGACAGATGCACTACGCAGTATTATCATCTCGCAGCAGCTCCTCGGGACGCGGGAGATCATCATCGTGCACCATGTAGGTTTTTTGAAAATCAAAATGAAATGAAATGAAAGACCACGGGAAGCTGCGTTACAAGGTGCTAACGGATCGACTCCAGACGGACTGTGGAATGCTTACTTTCACCGACGAGGTGATCCGCGGTAAAGTCCGGGCAGAATTGGGCCAGAATGTTGATTATATTTCTTTTCTTCCTTTCGGAGATCTCAAGCAGAGTGTTCTGGATGATATTAAGATATTGAAGGAGAGTCCTCTCGTGCTGGATGTTCCAGTCACGGGGTACGTGTATGAGGTGGAAACGGGCAAGATCGTCAAGGTGGAATGAGAGGATGGACAAGTCATGCGCTGATACATACTACGTAGTAGTATTTTATTGTATTTAAGAATGAGAGGCAGATATTATTGTGAGCTCCCTGTGCTGTTAGTTGGACATGAAGAGATGAATTACGCAGCCCCTACTCCTACTAATAGTATTATGTGACGCGCCTAGGTACCATTAAAGGCTGGAATATTAGAGCAACAAGTCAGTGGTATTCAGCGAGCATGCTAAGCATGGAGGGCAAGAAGCTACAAGGTACCAGATATAGCTAGGCCTGCCTTAAGTATATAGGCATCAAATATGTGATTCGTCGCATCCTTTCTATACTACCAGCCAAGCACTTCGCTCGGTCAGCCCTCCGACCAAAGGCCTTTGTGATGATAATCCTTGAAAAAGTAAACTTGAGCAGGGGATATAATCATGCCCCGATTCCCCAACAACAGAATCTGCCTTAACTAGGACATTCCATTATTTTCATCTTGTTTTTTGTCTTCTTAATCTGCTTTTCTAACCTGACAACCTGCTTATTTTGATCCCAAAGCTTGAGGGATACTAGCTCGGTTCCTAAGAATAGGATATAGAGAGTTGACCATAAATGAATGCAAGAAAGAACTAAACGCAATTGAAATCATAGCCATAGATGTCCAGATGTCCATTTTAGCGGTGATTGTAGGGCAGGGAGAATTTGAAAAATAGCGTTGTAGTAGGAGATTGGAGGCGGAGACGCAAATGTGTACCCTAAGGCGGTTGGACAAATAGAAGATAATGAGGAGGTTAAACAGAAATAAAGAAGACTTTGGGAATTTTTCTTTATTGAGAGCACCAGTATGACTTAAGAATTACGGATAGTCTTAAGGATGAGACTTGGGACCCGTCGCCCGTGGTCCTGACCGCAATCGTAACCCCGCAACCGCCAAACGTGGTTATGTGGTTGTACATGTATGGATCTGGAATTAAGGCTTTTGGATATTCAGTTAGAAGTGTGTTCTTAGAGCGATTCAGAGTATATGCTGCCCTGATAAAAAGCTACGACCTCTCACTAAAGTGAGCTGAGGGATATTGGTTGAACATTTTCAAGGGTAGTACTGAATAAGGTACTACTTATCAAGTATGGAGGTTCCTCTACTGATTACCGACTGACCAGATTTACAATCATAAGCAGATTGATGCCTATCTGACAAATGCCGAACCATGCTCAGCTGAAAGTCAGAACCTTCAGACCTGATCAGGGATAGCACGTTCTGCCTTGCGCTTGGGCCAGGCTCACCAGCCACAAGTGCAGGCATCAATCTTGTTTCCTATAGTTTTGCTTTTCCTTTGAATCAAAATAATTTGCCACTGGTTTCCTTCGCGGTAACATAAACGAAACGTAGTATTCGTCTGACTGGAGCATTTTACATACGGAGTACGTAGTACTATACAGGGCTGATGGTTCTTGAGTTCATTTGTCTTGGCCCGGCCCGACCCACCACGGTGGGTCATAGATGTAATTCAGCCACTTAGATGAGCTCAAATTCTTCACAAACCGCAAAGGCAAAAATTCTTCATCAAGCAAAAAAGATATCTCAGGTTTTTTTTGTAGGAATAGCCGAACGGGGGGGGTCGAACCCCCAACCTTGAGATTAAGAGTCTCACGCTCTACCGATTGAGCTAGCCCGGCTGGGCTGGTGGAGGATGATGCCAACGAACGAGTGGGATGGGCATTGAGAGTGTCAATTGCCCCCTTTCCGTGGCCGGCGGATGTATGTATGCGTATACTCCGTAGGTAGGACCGCGAGATTTCACCTGGGTGCTGGGCTGAGAGGGAAGGGAAGGGAACCGCGTAATGCAAGGCAAAGTTTAATTGACATGCGCGAAAGACATGCGCGAAATATTGTCCGAGAACAGTCGGGGGAAAGAAAGGTCGTGGCCTTGCGCACGGCCCAAGAACAGGTGTCTAGAATGAGATTGCCTATGAATTGGGGTTAGCAATTGGCCGTCGCTTCCAAGGCAGACTGAGGTTTGGAAGGAGATTGTTAGAGAAATGGCGCGCGTTAAGCGTTCTGCAAATCATGGGCCACTCTCGTCATTGATATGGGAGAAAGCCCCCTCGGTCACCCCTGACAGAGGTGTGCGGCGCTAGAGTCCAGGATGAGGAGACGTCACCCGGAGGAAGTAAGCAGAAGAAAAGCCGGGATTTGAGGGGATGAGGAGAGTGGCTGGTGTGTCAAATCACGTTGGAGGGTAAGCGGGATTTGTGGCTGAGGCTGAGCAATGTTGAGGAAAAAGAAAGAAGAGACCCTGTCAGACTGGATGATAGTGAATTGAGGTGTGGCTTGTGGCGGAGCAGGATGAGGCTTGAGTTGAGTTGAGTTGAGAGGGGCATACGAGTACTACTAGTACTAGTAGTTTGGGGTCCAAAAACATTCGGGTCGGCGATCGTCAACTATTCTTAGGACCTCGTAAAGAAATGAAACACCGGTCTTATTGTCGCCAAAAATGGAACATCCAGAGAAGTCTATCTCGAGGCTCTGTACGAATTATCGAGGCTCAATTCGAGTTGCATGAACGAATGTTTCGAGTATTGTAGGAGTGTCTCGTCAGACGCTGGTGGGGAGAGCGCGCGTGCGGAGAACAAATGAGTGTGGGAAGCATGGCGGCGGGCAGCGCCAGATCAAACGAACGTCATTTAGAATTAGTGGCCCTTGATGAAAGTTCAGGTGCCGAACTATTATGGCTCAAGTGACATGAACATGTTCTGTTCTGTTCTGTTCTGTACCGTACTCAGGGGGGTGGGGGAAGGGCGATGATCACCACTGATGGAGGGAACACGAGACCCTCCACCATCGGCGCAGGAACACGAGCCGGTCAAGCCACAAGTGCTAGGATATGCCTTCACCAATGATGACATCTGGTGGTCATTTGAGCCAGGCAGCAAAGGCTGAGAAGTGGCCTGGGAAAACGTTAGAAAGAAAGGAATCGGGGAACGAGAGTGGAAAGGAGAATTACTGCAAGTGATACAAGATGCAGAACAAGGCGTGCATCACAAAGCGCCCGTCATGAGCAGGGCGCGCGACAAAGGGACAAACACAGAGCAGCATAGACCGTCATTACAGGGGAAGAGAGCCAATCAGGGGTCCGACAAGGGCCAATGCGGCGGTGTTGACTGAGCCACACGCTAGCATGGAGGATAAGATGGGTGGATCGGTGGAGGATGGGGTGAAGTACGGAGTACTTGGAAGGTCATACTAAAATAGCGGGAGGAGCGGGTACCGCCAGAACAGAGCCTCTCCTTCCACTTGGGACTAGAGGGACTAGGGTCAGTCCCAGGCACCACCCGTTGATCTGTGGGTATGCCTTGTCTTCTACTACAACTGCAGGAGTAGTACACTTTTAGTCTTTCCTATATATACTCCTCCTGCCCCTCCTCAACATCATCATCTTCACTTCCACTCCACTCTTCTGAATACATTCGATCATACACTACATAGTATACTACACTCAATCACCTGCCACCTACTACTACTCGATCATCCACCCACACCTATACTCCTTCGTCACTCGCCCTCTCTCGCGTGACTAGCAAAGAATCATTCACCGTGTCTCCTCGACGCTCTTCCACCTACTTTATCAACCCCACCACCGCCACCATAGACAATTCTCCTCCTTCTTCCTCCCGGCGTCTCTTTGGGAGTCGCCATTCACCCGAGATGCCTGGATCAGTCGAAATCGTCTCTGCCCCCGCCGTCGTCCGTGATCTGGAAGGCGACGAGCGCTTCGTCCTCGATCAATTTGAGCAGCACACTGCTCACTGCACCCAGTGCACTCACG